AGCATCGAACAATTGAACAACATCCACCAGGCAAGCAGTAATATTAAATCAAGAACGTTCAGAGAGAATCTATGGTATCCCGATAGGGAGAGCATCTTGAAATTATTCGGTAACATTCGACCGCCTCTATAAATTTAAATCCGATCTCTATTTATAAAAATTCAAGAGATTCAATGGAAATTCTAATGATAATCGGGTTCCTTCAGATAGATTCAAATCCAATTCGACGATCAAAAATAATTGAAAGCAAGCAAGATCTGCCGTGTTATCCTCTTCTACTTTGAATAATTCAGACGACTCTAAATAGTCCAATACACATCGAATGAATTCAACTCCAAAGTCTTGAGTAAGCAATGAATACAGTAGAGAAACTGTTACTTTTTGATTGTGCAGATGGATTGTATCTCGAGCGATCCTAATGGTACCTCCGGATAACAAGAGGATTCACCGGCTCTAATCACTCTCGTTGTCGTTGATCACTGTAACAACCGGGTGTGCCCCGATAGCAGGCATCGCGGAAGCAGGCAGAAAGCAATCGAGCTGTGGCTCTTCCATAATGGAAGAGCCAGTACGTACGTATTTACCCGGCGGTGGTGGAAATTCGTGCGGATGTAACTGCGTCTACGTACCGTGCACGGGACAGAGGTGGAGCGGCGTCTGTGCCTCGGCGGCGTCGCGACGTCGATTATATGCTCTCGTCCGGACGCCCCCGCATTTTCGTGGGATGGTGCCTGGCCGACAGGCACGAAAAAGGCTCGCCTCGCGGGGCGTCGCGACGCTCGCCGAACTAGGCGGCCGCAGCCCCTAAGCGGAGACGAACATGCTTACCGCTTTGGAAATACTCCGGCAGGCATTCCTGCTTGGAGAGCCGGTCGCATCGGCGCGAATTAGCGTTAACCGGAGTCAACGAATTTTCTCTTTCTCCACCTCCATATGCACGAGTCGTTTCGGTGAATAGCGGTTAAAATTGACCGGATCGTTCACGCGATCCTCCTTCTCTAACCCGTGTCTAAAACGAGATAAGGAGAAATTGATCACAGAAAACAACAATAACTTAAGTTTGATTTATATTATATCTCGAAACACGATGTTCTTACGTAGATTTACTTGCAATTCTTGCTGAACTGCTGATCCAGACTTTTTTTTTTTCGTTCTCATAATCGTACACGTTTCTCATAAATTCATCCTGAAACGGCAATTGCAGATTCTACGTATGAAATGTTATGCGAAGCATAAATCTGTCGCACATCAATCAACAAAAGGCGGAAGTTGTCGAGAAAGTTGCGACAGAAGGATGCTCGGGGATCGAATTTAACTTTCTAGCGTCTGCAAGAATCACACTCTGACGGATATCAAGGCGTCAAAAGTATTTTGAGATTACGCGATGCGACCGAAATAAACTGTAGCTTCTTCGCGAGAGCTTTTATCGCGGGGTTTCTCGTCCCTGAATATCAATGGAGCGTGCAGATTCAGCTAGGAAAAATTATAGGGATAATAATTCGTGGCAGTCGAAAACTAGTGCTTTTTTCAACTTCAGTCACGCAATTAACGACGAAGGTACAAGCGGCTGAATCAGCATGGGAATCAGCATGGGAACAATAAGCGAGATCTCCTTTGACTTCCTTGAGATACGATTGACAGTAGAACGATGTATAGTACAATGATTTACAGTAGAAAATTAAATTAGAATAGGGCGAATAATATTAGGCCAAGGTCGCTAATCGCGAGCACATAACGATAACGGCTATTTTAAAATTACGTCGGCCGCTACTTTGCCGCAATCGAAGACAAATTTGGATCTGCGAGCACGAGAGGGCGTCGCGAGGGGATTAACATAATCGCGAAATCGCCAGACTGCCCCCAGCTGTGAGTCTGTTTATTATAGTGACTGTTAAATAACGTATCAAACAGCTTGCAGAATGCATGAGCGAGATTCTTCTCTCTCGACGTTCCTTTTCATGAAAATATCAAAGGTTAAAGGATGAAAAAAAGCCTGTCTGCATCTTCGGATACACATCTCAGTGAATTCAGAGGAATTTGTTTTTCCTTTATTCCCAACATAAATGTTCACATAAATGTTCGGTTGCTAATATTAAACTTCCAAGTTGTATTCGTCGACAAGTGCATGTACATAGAGCGATGTATTTTCCAGGCAGGCAAAGGCAGCTCCTGAGGAATGAAGATCTTGTGAGCTGTTGAACGAGAATCTTACTTTACCAAGACGTAACGCTGAGAGGACATGAAATCAAAATAAATCGGACGCTTGTGTATTGACTGCACGGAGTTCACATGAGGTAATGTAAAGAACACGTGATCATACAGTAGTGGTGTGAGATAATGTGTATTTGACTTGACTTTGACATCGTATAACAATATAGAGAGTAACATAGTGTATATAATATTTACAAAATAAATTAAAGAGAGAGAGTATAGAGAAGTACATTGGTAACGTTTACTTCGGTTAGCAGACTAGAAGTAATAATGTACGTATTGTGCGAGACGTGATTATCACGGACGGTGGTAAAGAACGCTCGCGTAACAGTAAAAACAGCTCGACCTTCCCGGAGTAGTCTCGATGCCGTTGCCAAGCACAGCCTGAAGTCCTCGCGTGTTCTTATATCTGCCCATAATGTCCCTTTCGCAGACCGAAAGATACACTTGGTAGCGTTTATACGCATCGTACAGGAATCCTTTTCGGTGCTCGGCAACGCGTCCAGGCTACCACGGATAAGGTCCTGAGACGAGAGCCAAACCGCCGACCGCTACCTCGGCCACGATGATGACGCCAAGTGAGCAATGATGTCGCGCGTAACTTCACGGAAGGCTACGCTGACGAAAATGATTAGCCTGACCGTCGTCGCATGCGCGACGACGAGCGAGGCCGCGACGATGACGTTTCGATGAGATCCAATGATGACTGAAAGTCGATGATGGTGCTTTGATGATGTTTCCTCATAGCAGCTTGATTGTACGAGGACGAACTGCGCCGCGTCGTTCGCGCGTTCTCCTCGAAGTAGGACGATGTTCTTTCGAAGTTTGCGCCACGTCGTTGATCGTGTAACGACGCGCTTAGAAGCATTTGCGGTGGACGATGCCGGGGCCGGACTCGTCGTACTCCTGCTTGGAGATCCACATCTGTTGGAAGGTGGACAGGGAAGCCAAGATGGAACCACCGATCCATACGGAGTACTTCCTCTCGGGAGGAGCGATGATCTTGATCTTGATGGTCGAGGGTGCGAGAGCAGTGATTTCCTTCTGCATACGATCGGCGATACCAGGGTACATGGTGGTACCACCAGAGAGGACATTGTTAGCGTAGAGGTCCTTACGGATGTCGACGTCGCACTTCATGATCGAGTTGTAGACGGTCTCGTGGATACCGCAAGATTCCATACCCAAGAAGGAAGGTTGGAAGAGAGCCTCAGGTGTACGGAACCTCTCGTTACCGATGGTGATGACCTGACCATCAGGCAACTCGTAGCTCTTCTCGAGGGAAGTGCTGGCGGCGGCAGTGGCCATTTCCTGTTCGAAGTCCAGGGCGACATAGCAGAGTTTCTCCTTGATATCGCGGACGATTTCTCGCTCAGCCGTGGTGGTGAAGCTGTAGCCTCTCTCGGTGAGGATCTTCATGAGGTAGTCGGTAAGATCGCGACCGGCCAAGTCGAGACGGAGGATGGCATGGGGGAGAGCGTAACCTTCGTAGATGGGTACGGTGTGAGATACACCATCTCCGGAGTCCAAGACGATACCGGTGGTACGACCGGAAGCGTACAGGGAGAGAACGGCCTGAATGGCGACGTACATAGCCGGGCTGTTGAAGGTTTCGAACATGATCTGCGTCATCTTTTCACGGTTAGCCTTGGGGTTCAGGGGTGCTTCGGTAAGAAGGACCGGGTGTTCTTCGGGAGCCACACGCAGTTCGTTGTAGAAGGTGTGATGCCAGATCTTCTCCATATCATCCCAGTTGGTGATGATACCGTGCTCGATCGGATATTTCAGAGTCAAGATACCTCTCTTGCTCTGGGCCTCGTCGCCCACGTAGCTGTCTTTCTGTCCCATACCGACCATCACACCCTGATGACGGGGGCGACCGACGATCGAGGGGAAGACGGCGCGAGGAGCGTCATCTCCGGCGAAACCGGCCTTGCACATGCCGGAGCCATTGTCTACAACGAGGGCGGCTACTTCGTCGTCACACATGTTGCTGCTGCTTTAGTTTTTCTGCAAGAAAAATTCGGTCATTTAGTATTGGTTTTTCTGTTTCACGAGTCATTCGGAAATCGTGACACGTGTTGATTCGCAATCGTCGAAAAATTGGCAACTTTTCGTTCCGAACAATTATTTTTATATAATCCAAGCTATTTTTGTTTGAAGATGTCTACGGGGGATTATAAGCGCACGTGCTAATTATAATCCGCTCGCACAGTTTGGCGCATAAGACTCAAATGGATTTTGCTCAAATTTTTTATATCTTGAAATTTTTATAAAAATGGCAATTCTAAAAGAACTACAAATCGAGTTAATTACTGTGACGTAATTAAAACACCGCGATTGAAGAACATAAACGTAATTTTTCAAATTTGTATGATTAGAGGATTTTTTCATGTATGATATTAGAAGAACAAATCACACGTAGACTAAGGAGCTAAACCTTTGCCGTCACAAATTTTTTGCCCAATGAAACAAAATTTAAGCAACAATCCTCGCAAAAGCGCTAGCGATGTGTGCACAACGTCGTTCCAATCTTTGACGCTTTGGTCCACTCCAAAATTTATCCACGCTCTTCCGCATTAAACTTGTCAAGATCGACCCCACAATCGGCTTCACCCTTCCTTTCAAACTTCCCACGAATGTGCTCACAAAAGCGTCTCCACTTCTCTCCCGATAAAATCCCCGAGACTTTCGGCTTCTATCTCTAGAAAATGCAAACTCCGACCCGTGCGAGTCGCGTTCGTCCGTGGCACAACAGAGCTGCGCGAATCGACTAACTACTAACCGTGGGGGTGGGTTGTGAATTGACGGGCGGCTGAGGAGCGGCTGAGGCTCGAGAGCGTCGCGACGCCAGATATAACGTCCGCACGGTGCGCGACGCTACCGAAGATGGGCACGCGGGACGCTTCCAGGGCTGGCCAGCGTTTCTGCCCACGCTGCCGTTGGGCGCGCGGGTGGGACGTGGACCCAGGAAATCATCTCAGCCCGAACGAACGGTTCCACGACGGCTCGCCAGAACGCCTTTGGACGACCCTGCCGGTCCGAGAACGGCGACGCGCGCCGTTCGCGCTGCGACGTCGCTCCTCGTCATCGTCGTGATCGTTCTTCTCCTCCTCCTCCTTTCTCTTCCTCTTCGTCTTCATCGTCGTCGTCGTCGTCGTCGTGTTCTTCTTCTTCGTCTTCTTCCTCTTCTTCTTATTCGCGCGCTCTTGGAAATCCCCGTGGACGCCGGCACCTCCTAATCTGGACATTAACACGGGTTGCCGACCGTTTCTGCAGCTATCTGCTCTTCGTCTTTCCCGCACGCCAGTGTGAGGGAAGGCGAAGACAGATGCTGCTGTGCGATGAAATATCGGTCTATCTGCTTATATCACACGATAACAACGTGACTCGCAATTTTCCTTCAGCTGCAAAGGGTTGTTTTTTTGCGTGGAAAACTTCAACGGAGCTTCAACGCGAAAAATTCGCCGGCAAATACTTGAGTTTTATGTGAATAATTTGACAGGTCAGAACGGATAAATCCGACAATGAATCTCTCGTGTCTGGAGGCTGGAAGATATTGCGCTATTAAAAGATTAAGCTCGGCAGAAATTTGTGTGCAATCTAACAGACGCGAAATACGCGGTTATTTCCACGTTATTTCCATCATAGCTCATCGTTTTCTCTTTCCGCAGCTCCTCATGGCTCCTTCGTAGTCATTCTCGTTGCCGACGTTTTTGGCATACGCCGGGGAAAGAGAGAGAGAGAGAGAGAGAGAGAGAGAGATAGAGAAATAGAGATAGAGCCCCGACGTCTCGGCGCTCCTGAAAATACCCGCTCATGGCCAAATCAGGGTATTAACGTGAGACGATGCACTCTTCTACGAGAGCTACTCGGAGTACTCGGATGAATTCATCACGCTGGGAAGCGGAAGGGAAGAAAGAAGCGACACTTGTCGTCACTCATTCGCAAGGTGGATGAATTTTCTTCCTTGGTCTTCGCTGCATTCCTTTCCTATGATCGATAAAGCTACCGCGACTTTTAACCACCTACGTGACCGTGACTGTGTTCTCAGGTATTTGGACAAATTGCCAATTGGCATTTAATATATTCGTTGTATATTCATCGATCCGCGCATCACGCCTAATAATTTATTCCCATTTCGGCGAGAAAAAGTACAACGAAAGAAAAGAGCTAAGAATAAGTCGACCGCTAACTTAATCACCGGTTACTCGCTGTAATTCACTTGGTACGCGGGAGGCGCATAAAACTTACGAGGGAAGAGTATGACATAAATTTTGGCGGAAAGGCGACTTCATGTTTTCGGTGTGGAGAGGAAGATAAAGGCGACGAAGTTTGTCTCTTACATTATTTCCTGTCTTATTCATAATGAATATGTCAACATGGCATCATCGAAATAGAATCTATGAGTTACGGTTAATGTATCGTTCAAAGTAATTGATGTAATGTCAACTTTTGTGATTCTATTCCTCGTCTTTCTTTGGTTGCGCGTTCTTCCACTTGAAAACTTTGATTTAGGACACTGACTAAGAGTCTAATATCAAGATATCTTGATCCCTCTCTCGTATCTCGCCAATTGATTTGTTTAATTTATTGTCAGGCGGTATTGTAGATTAATGGACCATTAAGGAAATTTACAGATATAACACGGCCCTCTTATAGATCCTATAGCTTGAACCCTTGTGAAATCTGGTACAGCCTTGCGAAATGTTTTCTGATGCGAGACGAATGCACGAATGCAGTAGTTTCGATGCAGGAAAGGACAAAAAACATCGGGAACACGGAAATAAGAAATGAATCACAGATATTATTCTACACATCGTCATGTGATATAATTTCTATAATTTTTTTATCATGTAAATATCATGTAAATACTGTTTGCTGTGCATTATAGAGCTCATGTAGAAACTGTCGGGAGCAAGGGTCTTATAAATACTTGATTATTTGTGAGATATACATTTCTTGGCAGTGGAATAGGCGCGTCAATTACGCAGTTTTATAAATTTCAATTATGCATATATCATAATCAAACATTTTATGTGCAGATGTACTCCTGTTCAGTGAACTGCTTGGTAGCACATCGTCAATATAGTAATCAGTATAACAAACACAGCTGCAATTACGTAATAAGTTTAATTTGTATGAATAATGTTGAAATGGAAATTTCCAGCGTTTACATAACCGTTCTATTTTTAGATAATTTTTTTAACAAGTCCTTTATTGGCTGAAAGTTGATTAATAAAATTATTATGGCTCTTTTTTTGACGTCTCATATTTTTAGAACACGCGCAAAAATATTTTGCGACTTTATCAGTGCTTCTCGTGGCCGGTCAGGAGAAGAAACATTTACGTCGCCAATCTGGAAATAGTCGGATTGAAATCTGGCGTTAATTTATTTTACGACATTCTTATGGGTTCTCTCGACAGCACCGTTAATTGTTGTGGTTGTTTCTCCGCTGCTTTATGAAGAATCTGATGCCTCAAGAAATGTTTTTTCTTCTTTTTTTTGATTGAGAATATATCGATGATCGCGTTGACGACGCGGCACATTCCGCGTAGGATGAGTGTTTTAAGTTGATACGAAAAAAAAAAAGAATAAGATTGTATCTTTCCGTTCGTATAAAATTTGAGGGATCTCGCATGCTTCTGAACGACTTTCGAACTACCACGACCATCTCCAAAATTTCACGCAATGAACGATTCTTTTTTTCATTCCGCAGTCGTAACGGAAGCCCTTGGATCGATATTGAGTCCAACGTGTGTCCTCGACGAAGAAGTATCGCCAACTAAACGAAAAGAAACGGAGGACGTCGCGTGCAAGGCAAGGTCGCTAGCTCTCACGAGTCCAGAATGTGAAACCGGCCTGAGAACGAGAGAATGAGAGGTAAAGTTATATGCACATATCTTTTATATCGCAAATTATTAATGCCGGACCATCGGTTCGTTAGTTTCGGCTCACGGGGATACACAATACGAGAAATAGCGGCGAGACCTTGCAGAAAGTCCTGTCACGATACGTTTTTTCCAAGGCTCCACAGTTTTTCGTTGCCGGATACTTTACTCAGTTTCTCTACCATACGCGAGCCAAAGCTTATCAGCCGGAAACTTGTCTTACGCCGTATTCTTTTCCAGCAGGAGAAAAATTTCTTTCTCGTTTAGAGAAATCTAGTTATAAAAATAAAAGTACAGTTTATGTTTGAAAGTATAAATAGCTTTCCTAAAGTACAAAACACTCATTAATTTATCATTAACTGTTTTGCAGAAATTGAGTAGATTCCACACGTTCCTACAACACATTATCTAACAGTGTTACGATATGTTGTGTTTGTTTTGTCAGATTCTACTTTTATCTGGAAAAACAATTCCTAATTACGTGCTATCAACGCTATTCTTTCTGAAATAGTAATCAGTAGCAGTAGCGTTTGTAAACTCTCCGTGAACATCTAAAACACTGTAAATTACACATCCGTCACTGCATGCGATTGTCAAACGGTATCGGCACATCGTATTTATTATTTTGATATTATTCATATATATATAATGAATAATTTCGTTTAAATAAATCTTGAGCATATTAAAACTGAAGAGGTTTAAACAACGCTAATGCAATAATGCTAACGCTACATTACAGTTTTGTGGAGCTTGCTGCGTTGATTTTACATACGTTCTCTAAATGTATGTAACGCTTAGAAAATGTTATTATCAATGCATAGATAGTCATTTGATAGCGTTTGTATCGATAGCGCTAACAATATCTACCCGAACGCGCTCTGAAGAGGATGAAGATTGAAGAAGGTCGAGAAATGACCATCGAAATGTAAATTTGTAACGAGTATCGAGCAGCGAGATAACACGCGGACAGGACGAACCGAGGACCGAGCAGCAGGATCGCCGGTAGAATTTATGAGAGCCGTAGTATCGAGATGAAATGTTGCGAGGTGGGGAGATTGCATAAAAGTTAACGTATCACGCTGACGGAGGTTAGTCCGTGGCTGGGAGGCGGTTGCCGTTACAAGTCACAAGTCGTAGTCGCGGAAAGGACGTGGAGAGCCTGTGAAAGTACCTCCGCTAAGACGAAATTGTCTCCTTCTGAGCACAAGAGAACACTATACGGGTCGACATGCTGCGCCTGTAAGTACTTTATTCCCATACAGCACTGTTGCAGCAACGTTGCTGCACATTGCAACATTGCATATATATATATATATATATATGTGTGTGTGTGTATAGGTATAATAAATAAAATATATATATATGTTGCAATGTTGCGGCAATACTGCTACTGCCTGTGCTATATGGGTCATTCGGATAGTATATTATCGTACTCTTGAAACAATAAAAAACGACAACACGTATGTGGTATGACGTTTGATAATCCGCGGGAGTAGCGTTACAGCGCAGAGAAGTATGCAAGGTCAGAATCAGTGATATTACACATAAACGATACGTTATGATAAGAATACATATATTAGTAAACATCAAATAACATTACATCAACGTTATAATCTCTCATTAATGATGTAACTCTGTTACATGCAACAACATGTGTTACATCTGGATTTACATTGTAGAGCTGGAAATTATAACGTGGATGTAATTTTACCGTTACCTGGTTACCTGTTGTTCACCGGGACGAAGCGACTAATTCTCTGCGATAATAAGTAATTTACATGTTAATTATAGAAATCATAAGAGCAGAGGAAAAACTTCTAGCGACAAGAGTTTCAACTTGGACTGAATCGCAATATTGATAACGGTTATTCTTTATGAATGTTAATTTTACGCCGAGATAAGAATAATCATTTTTGCCGTGATATGTTACACGCGCGCGAAGGTTTCGTGGCTGGCATTCATGTCGAATACCTCCGGATGCACGATGACGATTATAATCTAACGAGTTAATGCACCGGACAAGTGCATTTCGTGCCGCGATAAGTCGAGACTTTCAAATCGCGTCGTTGCTTGACCTCACGGCGTCATTCAGTATTGTACACCAGACGGTGCTGAAGGTCGAGGAACTTATATTCCTTTTTGTCTATATTCTCGTATTACAAGATATATATATATATATAATTTTTTAATGCGTGCTTACAGACTTTTGACAGTAGCGGTCGTAGCTTTGGTTATAACAGCCACTCCAACGAGTAAGGAGCCTACCGAAGCCAGTCCTGTTGCAACAAATCCTACGGAAGATTCACAGTCTACTGACGTTTTGAAAAATGCGAAGTCTGTCCTAAAACGTCTCGACGCGGAGTTAGGGAAATGGTACAACAAGCAAAGCATTGCAGAATGGAATTATGCCTCAAACTTGACGAAGGAGAACTTGGCGGAGAAGCTGAACATGTCCGTGATGGTGACCACCGCTTTGAAACACATATCTCAGGAAGCTAATAATTTTCCATGGGAAGATTTAAAAGACGAGGATATTAAGAGGCAGTTTAAGAAACTCAGTGTCGTCGGCAATGCGATGCTTTCTGAAGAGGTAAGGATACATTCCTGAAGAGCTGAAGACGACGAAAGTATGACGACAGCTTGACAACAGAAATCGAGCAGGATCTGTCGTTCTGTAACGATTTAAAGATGTTCCAATGAAACATACTGCGGATCCTGTTCGGTTTCTTCTGTCAATCTGCTGTCAAGTTATGTCGACAAAATATGAGCTTAATGAGAACGCAGATGGCTATGGATCTGCCACGATATTCTGATCAAATCTGCTGTCGGTCTACCGGCATACTGCTAACATTTTGCTTATCAGAATAGTGGAGATATTGTGTAAAAAATATATGAAAATGCGATTGCAGGTGCAGAAGGAGTTTGATGAGACGATCAGCACGATGCAGAACATCTTTAGTACCGCGAAGATCTGCGACTACGTAAATCGGACGAAATGCGATATCGCGCTTGAGCCAGAGATCACTGAAATTTTCATGCGTAGCCGTGATCCTAAGGAGCTAGAGTACATCTGGGTGGAGTGGAGGAAGGCGTCGGGTGAGAAAGTGAAGTCTCTGTACATCAAGTATGTCGAGATGGCCAATAACATCGCGAGGCTCTACAACTATCCTGATTATGCCGCGTACTGGATGAGAGACTACGAGACCGATAATTTCCCCGAGCAGATCGGTAAGCTCGCGTTGTCTGCGATGGTTGAGCGAGATACGGATAAAAAAATGATACTCCCTATACCGATATCTTTTCAGAGACTCTATGGCAACAGTTGAAGCCGCTGTACCTGCAGTTGCACGCTTATGTGCGACGTGAGCTCAGGGAGAAGTACGGCGAAGACCTTGTCTCCAAGGACGGACCGATCCCGGCACATCTCTTGGGCAACGTATGGGCCCAGTCTTGGTCGAATATCGCGGACTTCACCATACCTTTTCCGGGCAAGCAATTACCGGATGTGAGCTCCTCTCTGGTGAAACAAGGTAGACTCACGTTTTACTTTCGGAGCTCTCTCACTGAGTCGTAGTGTCTTTTGCGTTGTAGGATCGGGAAATAACGCATTATTTGTAACGTCGTTAACGGTACAGATTACTTTTGCTTGATAACGAGGTTATATTTTCCATTAATAACGGTAACGATAACGAATATAATCGTTACTTATTTCATTACTTTGCATGTATAAAATACATGCGTATAGATTGGACAGAAGCGAATTCTAAAATTGGTCTTCAAAAGTAATTCCCCCAACCTTGTCGTCACATACCTCACAATTTCATACAGGTTACAACGCGACGAGCATCTTTCGCCTCGCCGAAGACTTCTTCAAGTCGATCAACTTGACCGCCATGCCGGACTCATTTTGGGAGAAATCGATTTTAACGAAGATAGAGGATGTAGATATGATCTGTCACGCAAGCGCATGGGACTTTTACGACGGCAAAGACTTTAGGATCAAGCAATGTACGCGCATCAACATGGAGGATATGTTCACAGCTCATCATGAAATGGGTCACGTCGAGTACTTCTTGCAATACAAGGACCAACCGACTATTTACAAGCAGGGTGCGAATCCTGGCTTCCATGAAGCAGTCGGTGATGTTATCGCTCTTAGTGTATCCACTCCCAGTCATCTCAAGAACATTGGTCTACTCCAAGATGATTCGACTGACCCAGAAGCGATGTTGAATAATCTCTATGTAAAGAGTCTTGAAAAGATCGTTTTTCTACCGTTTTCTTACATGTTGGATCGATGGCGCTGGAACGTATTCCAAGGAAAGGTTACATCTGACAATTATAACTGCAACTGGTTAGTATACCTGATTATCACCTACATTAGTCCGATTTAAGTACACTCTAATGCTGCAAATAAACAGTCTTTTGTTCCTTTCCCCTTCAATGCGCGATTGTACAGGGTGAGAATAAACCACCACACCATCTTGAATATTTTTGAAATATAAGAGAATAATTTATCTTTAAATCATACGATACGATATCACATAGAAGCCATGAGACTATTTCTGAATCATGTAATTTCCGTTGAAATTTTCATTGCAGACATCATATTTATCTTAGACATCCTTTAGATATTCCTAAAATATGTTCTATATATTTGTGCTGCCTGAAATATTTCGAAGATATTCAAGAATGTGATAGTTTCTGCCTCAACCTGTATATTTATTTCACTCTAAAGGAAGAAAGTATAGCACTAGTTTAGTTGAACAGACTCGATGTGTTAAGCAGTTTACAAGTTTACAATCGTTTGTCTCAAGGTGGTCTCTCGCAGAGGAGTACCAAGGCATAGAGCCTCCGGTAGACAGGTCTGAGGAAGATTTCGATCCCGGCGCGAAATACCACGTGGTCGCGGATGTGGAATATATCAGGTACTTCGTGAGCTTCGTGATACAATTCCAGTTTCACAAGGCGTTGTGTACCGAGGCGAAGCAATACGATCCGAAGAATCCGGAGGCTCATCTGTTACATCAGTGTGATATTTATAACAATAAGGATGCGGGAAATCTTCTGAAGTGAGTTCAACTCACCATCTTATCGCAGAAACGTGATTCTAGATGGAAGAAAAATAATTGACACCACGTTTGCGTTAGGTCTATGTTGGAGATGGGTTCTTCGAAACCATGGCCAGACGCGATGGAGAAGATTACGAAGCAACGGGATATGGACTCGGCCGGACTGTTAGAATATTTCAAACCGTTGATCAATTGGCTAACAGAAGAAAATAAGAAAACCAATGAATATATCGGATGGAAACCCAGTAATAGAAGTACGTACTGTAATTATATATATGACATAATCTTATACATATATGAGGCTTTATCGTTTTTTATTTCATCTCTTATATATTATAAATACAAAAAAAAACAGATTGATCATGTATAGTAGTGTGGAGACAATTCATTAATTTTGTTATTTTAGAATGCGTACAAACCAGAGGAGAGCTTCGAGTTATCTCGTGATAATATTCTACACGGCACAGAAATATATATTCAAGCATCTGGAAAATAGCTTCATTTTAATTTGTCCAAAAAATTTGAAAATGGTGATAAAAATTATTTTACAATCATAGACATTCCGTCAGGTATAAATCATGACACGAACGAATGTTCATGACTAATTTTATGCCTTACATTATTTAAATAAAAAATTCACATTCCACAACGCTGTTTCATTTTGCTTTACCGCGTCCTCTTCCACGCTTTTTAGCTGGTCCATCAGTTTTTTTGATTGTAGCAGCTTTGCTAGTGGAAGCGACGGTAGGTTTTTTTACCTGAAACAAATTTTTCTCAGTCTTAATTTTTGCTAAAATCCGTGTGCTATTTTATAAAATCGCGAAAGTGCATGCAGTCTATGCATAATTCCGTAGCGAAAATCGAATAAATTAAATTCTTTTCGCTCAGTTCGTGCGCCCAAACATCAAGCTTGTTTACCATTCGAAGCTTCTGTAAATGTCTCGAAACGGTTGATTGGTCAATGTTGAGGTTACGTCCGATCTCTGTAGTCGTCAAATAACGGTCGGAGTCGATTAATGCCTTGATTTTATCGACATCAGTAGTGACTGGCCGACCAGGGTGAGGAGCATCTTGGAGATAAAAATCTCCGCAACGAAATTTTGCAAACCATTTCCGACACACACTCATGCTTACGGCATTCTCTCCGTACACGGCGCATATTTTTTTGTGAGTTTGCGACGCATTTTTGCCTTTTCGGAAATAAAAAAGCGAAATGCACCGAAAATACACTTTATTTCCTTCCATGTTCAAAATATAATTAAACTTCGTATATGTCACGGATCTCGAATACTTTCTTGAAATGTCGGCACAAGTTTTAGCTTCCACTTACGACAACACTTCATATGTTCGCCACATGTGCGAGCGGAAAAACAACTGCGAACGACATCTATCGGAATTTTGCTACGGAATTATGCATAAACCCAATAATATTCAGCGTTACCTTGACCATTTTGTCCGAATCGATATTGTCTTCCTCCTCTTCGGGTTCCTCCTCATCCATTAAATCGTCATCTTGCGCGGATCTTTTTTTTGTAGTGACAGCACTGTTAATTGCATATGGCAACATAGGAGAATTCTTCTGATACGCTCTCGTAAACGCTGCTTTCACCTGAGAAATATTCACGCAATCAGATTTTCCCGATTCATAGTGCAAGATTGATCAAAGATCGTAGAGATCGTTATATGCATACTTTGCTATCAAGATTACTCGTGGGATCACTTATGCCCGGCCAGAGAGAAATTTCCATCATTGAGTCCAAGTCCTCCCTGAAGCAAAATCAAATATTAGAACTTGAACATGTACAGGATGGGATCATAATAATTTACTTACCTCATTAGATGATACTTTCCCATAACAGCAATCGCTGCTTCTATACCATCGGCGCCGTTATCCAACAGAGGTTTTACAACAGCGTTCCGTATGTGGACCATGTAATCTAAATTGAGGGCGTCTTTGTTCGCACCCGTGGCCAACCGCGTATGCGTCGTTAACTCTTGCATCAGTCTAGAAATTACATTCGCTTGACAAGGCCGTCGAAGTCAACCGCTACTCAACACTTTCGACGTGTGGTAAGGACAAATATAACGTTAGTAAAAATTGATAGTCGTTGTTAGCCTTACACAAGTCTTACCTATTGAATCTCGTCGCTTTCGAGTTTCGTCCGAACCAACCCGGAAATCGTACCATCGAGTCGAGATTCCCCGACATTTCGTTGCCCGGTATGACAAAGGAGAAACAGGCATGTAACGGAAGCAGACTCCACATCATGCTACTCCTCATCACTTTTTCGATGAGATCACCCTGGGATATACTGTCGGCCGCCCGAGCGATCTTCTCCAGCCTCTGAAGACTGCAAGATGTAACGAGAAATGCATCTCTTCATCGATTCCTGTTTTAATATGAAAAAAACACAATATACTCACGATGACACCTGAGATAATTTAACGGCAGGGTAATTTTCCTGCACGAAAAGAGGCGCTATGTTATAATCGTGGAAGTATAAGCCGATTTTATCGTTGAGATTCATACTCCGCTGTTCCGCAGCGTTGAACACCAGTTTCGCGACGTCGAATGGACCGAGTTTGAAGTTCTTGTTAGAATGTTTCTTGTCGGCCGCCTCTACATGAGCCGTTTTTCCGCTGAGGAATTCCAAGTGATTGATCACTTGTCGAATATCATAATTCGTCGACTCGATCAAGCGATCGAGATCCTCCGTCGAGATTTGTATGTTCTCTTTAAAGCACAGGGATTTCATCGAACTCTGCGAAAGGGGAGAGGAATGAGTTTGATTAAAAATATTTTAAATAGAAGGAGACGTTACACTCGCGAGATAAATTTGTCAAACGTACCCTGATTTGCTCGACTCTGAGCTTTGGAAATTTCAGATCGTAAGTGTGACAGGAGAGGGTCCTCATTTTCGTGTTGAATCGATCATTACATATACAGATAACCGGCACGTCGGTATGTTTGATCAAATTAACCAATTCCTGCAAGCCACCGCGATCCTCATTACCAGCCATACCGTCAACTTCGTCCATTAGCAACGCGTGCTTGCTTGTGATCTTTTGTTTGTTACCTACATATAATGTATCGTACAGAGGACGGAATAAATGGATTAATCATAATTAATAATTATGAAATCTTAATTATATATGTTTACCTGTGCAGTAATCTTTCATCGTGGTATTAGACAACAATCCTGACACTTGTTCTTTCAGGAGTGTCTTGCTTCTGGTATCAGAAGCATTGAATTCTAACAGATCGTATCCCAACTCTTTACAAACAATCTGAGCAGTCGTTGTTTTACCAACGCCTGGTGAGCCAGATAACAAGGCTGCCTTGAAACTTTGTCCATTGTTTTGCTTACTCGCTGTTGGAATCAAAATAAAATAAATTAATTTCTGTATTTAGATGCAGAAGTTAATCAAGAAAAGGTTGTTAAAATAGAAATAAGAAGATATGATGGATGTAAAAATGTGCAAGAGCGTAACGAACGTACAGGATTTTGGATCTTGGCGATTCTTGTGCCAATCACGCAGCCAGACGTACAAGTTGTGTGCGGAACTCCTGTCTCCTTGTTGACCTATAATTTGCTTCAAAGTTTTAGGCCTGTATTTTTCAACTAATGGTTCTGAACTGACGTTTGTAGTTGCCTAAGTAAAATAAATCACAATAGGAAATTAAATTTTATGATATATATACATGTGTATATATATATATATATATATTGGCATTAAATTGTTCAGTTTTACCTCCTGTAAATTACTGCTTATATCTGAGGTCTGTTTCGGTTCTGGTAACGAAATTTTTATTTCCACTGATTTTGGTGACATTTTGATTTTCAATGATGAGATTGGCGAAGTTTCTTTCTTGGGCGAAACTAACAGTGCTTTCGTCTTGTTCGGCGATGGCGATGTATCACTTTCAGATTTACTCGACATCTTTTTCACATTTGGTTTTGCTTTTGTTGGCTTGATATCTTCAGATTTACCTTCCGGTCTTGTGCGGATCATTTCTAACAGATCATCCTCGGTTATTTGTTTGATGCTTAAAGTGTTTGCCTAAAAGATAACTAATATTTAATTATGAAACTAATCTTGTTTCATATAAGCAAGGAAATGAATAATATGCGCGACGATATGTATACATGCATAAAAACATACCTTTGCCAATTTAGCTGGACCAGCTTCATCTCCAACCATGATGTAATTGACTTTACTTGACACAGAGTTTACAATACGGCCTCCATAATTCTTTATTAAATCTTCAACTTCATTTCTTTCTAAGGACTCAAAGACACCTGTGGTCAGGAAGGTTAAACCAGCTAAACAATTTTTAGCACCCTAAAACAAAAATTTTATTAGAAAAAAACTTTAATCACATGTTATAAAAGATAAAATATTTAAGTTTTTCCTAATATTATTTATATAATTATAACAGCTATTATAACACTATGAATATATATATATATATATATATATATATATTCTATAACACTAGAAAATGTTATTTAATTAATTATACATATTTGCTATTATATAAACTCTTACTGTAGGGATTGTTTTTGAACCAGGATTTCTGGCACCACCTCTCTGAAGATATTTCTCATATAAGATAGCCTGTTGTCTTTTCTTTTCTATTCTTTCTTCAAACAGGTCAGTATCCTTAGTTTTTTTCTTGTTTGATGACCGCTTTCCAATATCTTCGTCTTTTGTAGTAGAGGCAGATATTGAGATGGTTAGCATATTTGTGAAGTTAAACTTTTTGGATATATTACGAGTATGCTTATCATTCGTATCTAAGTCCTCATTTGAACTAGAATTACTTTTCTTCCTTTTTTGTAGTTTCCGTTTTGGAGAACTTGTGACAGTTTTTGAAAGATTATCTTTATTTGAAGACTTCACCTCTTTATCTTTTATTTTGTTTGTTTCATTTGTTTCATTGTGTGATTTTTCTGAGGAACCCTTTTCTTTTTTTTTCTTGCTCTTATTAGAACTTACTTCTGTAAATATTTTATTTAGTCAAATGTTAAATATAAAAGTATTCTAATCCCTGAATTGTGGATAAAAATTGTAGATAGAAATATATACCTGCTTTCGTTATTGCTTCATGACTGTTAGATATATTTGCATTCTTAGTACTACCTTTTTCTTTCTTTATGTTTTGTATATTCTTACATTCATCCAATTGATTCAATACAGCATCAAAATCATCATCATTATGAAATTCAGATTCCTGCAGATTTTAGTATTATTAGCAGAATGTTGATTAAATATCTTTCTCTTCTTGTATATAATATTTACCATTTTCTGTAACTTCTTGTTTACTTTTGTTTCTTCTACCCTTGTTATAGGTTTCTTACTAAACAACTCACTGGGAGAGACAATTTTCTTCAGTGATTCTTTATTTCCATTTGTTTTATTTGCTTCAGGTTGCTTAGAATCATTAATCATATCATCCTCAGAGTCTGATAAGATTACAGTCTTTTTTATTTTTTGTAATATCTATGCACAAAACATTTAGTTATATGATTTTGTATTAGATAACAAATATATGTGAGTGATTGTAATAAGCAAATTAATAAAAAAAATATCATAGACATAAAATAAATATTATAGTACCTTGGAGCGTTTTGCAGTTGTTTTCGGTTTCTCTTCATCCTCATCAGATGAAATTACACGTCTTTTTTGAGGTTTTGAAATCAATTCGCTATTTTTTTTCTGAGAATTTGCGATCGGCGCAAAATAGGATCTTATATCCTGCAAAAGAAAACGCGTACATACAATTGAAATTTTATTTATATAAAACCAGAGTAACACGAATATAACCTACCTTGGCAGAGTTTGCTCCGTTTTTATTATTACTTGCTCGCGGCATTTTTGTAACGTTACACAATTTTTAAACAATATTTATTAATATTAATCGTTTTTATTAATCGTTTTTTGATACACTACAATATTTTCGCGCGAATTATTTGCACCATGCACGGTCGCGGACATAAAAGTTTGTGCTGTTTTTTGCAATTTTTGGAACGCATCCCGACTCGAGAAGAATGAGATGTCACTGCTCCGCCTGCGGAGCGTAGTGACCTGCGTAGTGGCCTGCGTAGTGACTCACGATGGAAGGCGAGAAATGAAATATACGCAGTGGGACATATTATAATAATACAGGCTCAAATGAAATGAATATTCCAGCATTAAATGAAAATGAGGGAACACAGAACAGACAAGAATCATCCGATGTAAAGCCAGCGGCACACGATGATTGTTTCGTGCTGGATTGCTTGCTGGATGAAAATATTGCGTTCTGATTGGTGCATTTCCATCCATCTTCGGAAATATACCAATCAGAACGCAGTATTTTCATCCAGCAAGCAATCCAGCATGAAAACAAGCACCGTGTGCCGCTGGCTTAACATTCGATCTGTTCGTTTTTCGAGCACTTTTTACACTTTAATTGTAAATTGTAGTTCGAGTTTCGGCTAAATTTTGTGAAAGCCGGTAAAATATGGTTCGAGTCTATGTTGCATTCAAAATGAAATGCTCTGACAAATTAAACGGTTTTTATCTCAAGCCTTTGAAAAAAAGATAAACGCTCTTTGCGAACGATTCTTCTGATTAAAAATATATTTATTCAGTAATTCTCCCTGTATTTGGTCAAAAACGGAAAACATCTTTGATTATTTTGCTTGTTTTCCACGAGAGGTCTCTATCCATGAACGAAGAACCTGAGATCGTCGTGATTCAACTGGTTGTTCTTTGTAGCTGCACTGTTGAACTGGTGCAATAAGTTAAAGTGAGACAAATACAGGTTTTCTCACTTTAGCTTATTGCACCAGTTCAGCAGTGCAACTACAAAGAACAGACCATACAATAGATCAGCCGCTTCTATATTTTTAAGTAATACAAGTCAAAGGCGGGTTAGACGTCCGATATTCTATACCGAAAAATAGGTAAACTTCAACGGGCTGTAATTTTGACAAAAATAACGTTATGGAGATGGTTCGAAAAGCATTTTACAACTTGAAGTTTTTAGTTTTTAATATATAAATATTAATATCATAATATATGTATAATATTATATAATTGTACCCAGTGTTTTATGCCAGTTACACCGAGTTGAATGAAAAGTAGTGATCAGTCAATAAATGTATGTAATGCCAGTACATTTATAGCAACCTTGATTTTATTTAATTACTGATTATTAACAGTACAAAGCATTCGAATAATAGCACATTTATAAATGTTCTATATTCCTTTCATATTTTATTTTTACAATTTTTAGAATTCCTACATTATACCATATCATAGAAAATAATTATATTTTAAATTAATTATTTTTTGTGTGGAGTATACGGAATCAGTATTATATCGTTTTCCATAATCTCACAAATATCAAAATTCGTCTGATAAAATATTCCTACGTTTAGAAGGATTCTCTATCCTTCTCTGACAGCATTGATCGACCGTGCATTTCCGCGGGAAATTGAGCGCGGCGTCGTGTTCTGTACATTAACCTCTGTTGAGTACGTTTTGCACAGTTTCTCCTTGGAACGAAGCGTGAGATTGTCTGGTAACGATGTCGAGCCCTATGAGAGCACCGAGAACCCCTACACCACAGGATGAAAATCAACCAGTGGGTGGAACACCCAGGCGACAGCCTCGAACTCCGACTTCCAACAGAGCTCGTTCAATCGCCGGGACTCCTTCTACAAGCTCCGTGTCTACCAGACAAGGTAAAAGCATATTACAAAACTCTTTCATCAAAAGAGAAAGATGTTGCATTTAAACTATTAGTAATATAGAATGAGAGTATTCACTAATTTGTCTATCACTAATAGGTACGCCTCAGAGACGATCAGGTAACAATCCGGTGGAGACCCCGTTGAGATGGGGCAACCGTCGTACTCACGAGACCATTGCACCTTCATCAGAGGGTCATTCCTCTGTGCCATTATCTTCGCCGATTGGGCAGGGACAGACCAGTCCTCTTGCTGCTGGTATGAGCGAAATAGAGTTGTCTTCTCCATTAAATTATGGAACACCCAGTTCCTTGGCATCAGTTCGTACTCCCAGAAGTGGTATCAGAGGAACTCCTATGAGGCAGAGACCAGATATTCAGTCTGAAAAACGTATTCGACAAGTTAATTTAGCGGAGACGGTGAGTTGAAGCAGAGATATCTGGCAATATTGATACAGATGCTGTTGGATTTTACATGTAAATTCTACTGATAGATACCAGAAGAACCCAATGCTCCGCAAACATCAGAAAGTGAGAATGGTCCACAATTGGTAATTTGGGGCACAAACGTCGTGGTAGATCAATGTAAAGCACAATTTAGACGATTTATTTTGCGCTTTATCGACCCAGAGGCGGAAAACGACGAATTGCCTGAGAACATGAATCTGACAGATCCACTGTACCTGCAAAAACTCGAAGAGATACACACACTGGAAGAACCCTACCTGAACGTGAACTGCGCCCATCTCGAGGCTTTCGACGACCAGCTTTACCATCGACTGGTGTGCTATCCGCAAGAGGTGATACCAGCCTTCGACGTAACCGCGAACGAAATGTTCTTCGAGAAATATCCTGCGGCAGTGCTGGATCATCAGATTCAAGTGCGGCCGTTCAACGTCACGAGGACGAAAAGTATGCGTCTCCTGAATCCAGAGGACATAGATCAATTGATCACGATCACGGGTATGGTCATTCGCACGTCGAACATCATGCCGGAGATGCGCGAGGCTTTCTTCAAGTGCATCGTTTGCTCATTCACGACCACCGTGGAAATCGACAGAGGTCACATCGCCGAGCCTACGGTGTGCACACAATGCAACAACAATTACTGCTTCAGCTTGATACACAACCGCAGCCACTTCTCCGACAAACAGATGATCAAGCTGCAGGAGTCACCAGACGATATGCCAGCTGGACAGACTCCTCATACGGTGGTGCTGTTTGCACACAACAATCTGGTCGACGCTGTTTCAGCGGGTGACAGAGTCTCCGTTACTGGTATATATCGCGCCTTGCCGTTGCGCGTTAATCCACGACAGAGCAACGTACGAGCTATCTACAGAACGCATGTTGACGTCGTCCACTTCAGAAAGCAGGATTCTAAACGGTAAGGAGTGCAAAAATTCGACTTGTATTATCCGAACGTTTCTCCTTATGCGCTGTCGCACATTAGAGTCGTATAGAAGAACATATTCTGACTTTAATTATATTTTTTTCATATGAAGGCTGTACGACGAAACGGAAGGCAAGAAACATGTGTTTCCACCGGAACGAGTAGAACTGTTGAAGCTATTGTCGCAGAAGGAGGACGTGTACGAACGTTTGGCGCGTCACATCGCCCCCAGCATCTATGAAAACGAGGACGTGAAGAAGGGGATATTGCTGCAGCTGTTCGGCGGCACGAAGAAAGAGCAGAGCGAGTCCAGCAAGAAGCACTTCCGCTCCGAGATTAACATACTGCTGTGCGGAGACCCGGGCACGAGTAAATCGCAGTTGCTGCAGTTCGTATATAATCTGGTGCCTCGCTCACAGTACAGCAGCGGGAAAGGTAAACAACCGTTAGCGGTAACAAGCTTCCAATTTAATCGGCCAATTTGTGCGTACATATTTACTCAGGTTCCAGTGCCGTCGGTTTGACCGCTTTTGTGACGAAGGATCCTGAAACCCGTCAATTGGTATTGCAAACTGGTGCCTTAGTGCTCGCCGACAACGGCATTTGTTGCATCGACGAGTTCGACAAGATGAACGACAGCACGCGCTCGGTGTTGCACGAAGTTATGGAGCAACAGACGTTGAGCATCGCCAAGGCGGGCATCATCTGTCAGCTGAACGCGAGAACGAGCATCCTGGCGGCGGCCAATCCCAGCGAGTCACAGTGGAATAAAAATAAGACGGTAAGTGTCCGCGACACCGTCCGGTATCGATGAGCTACGAGCGTTTTCACGTTTTGCTTCCACGTTTGTTTCCAGGTGATAGAAAATGTCATGTTACCGCACACGTTGATGTCGCGTTTCGACTTGATCTTCCTCATGCTGGACCCGCAGGACGAAATGTTCGACAGGAAACTCGCCAGACATTTGGTATCGCTCTACTACAAATCCGATCTAGAGGAAGAGGACGATATTGTGGACATGAGCATCTTGCGCGACTACATAGTTTACGCTAAGGAATCCGTTCATCCTATCCTTAACGAAGAGTGTCAACAGAGATTGATCCAGGCCTATGTGGATATGCGCAAGGTGGGAAGTGGTTATGGCCAAATCACGGCCTATCCGAGGCAACTGGAATCATTGATAAGACTCGCCGAGGCTCACGCCAAGGTGCGATTCAGCAACGTAGTGGAGATCGAGGATGTCGAAGAAGCATGGAGGTGAGTGGGTGACGTAAATAAGCGCTAGAAGGCGACATATCTTTTTTTGCAATGCAGTCGCAAAGTTCAGCACGCTGTAACATTCGTGTAATGCGCAATCGTACATCATCAGGTTACATCGGGAAGCGTTGAAACAGTCCGCTATCGATCCGCTGAGCGGCAAGATCGACATTAGCATTCTGACGACTGGCATGTCCTTAGCGGCGAGAAAACGCAGACAGGAACTGGTCGAGGCGCTGAAGAAACTCATTAAGGGCAAGGATAAGGCGCCGAGTCTAAATTGCCAGAAAATTTTCACGGAATTGAAGGAATCGTCCAGTGTGGTGAGTTTATTTCTACATTATCTTTGCCTAATTCATGTCTCATCTGTTCGCCATTCGTTTCTGCATCGCGTGTTGAGTTATTTGATTTTTTGTTGAGCATGATCTCTTTTTACTCTTAATTTCCATCGCGAGAGTTGTTTCGTTTCATTTTTTATGTTCCGTTTAATCATTTTTTTTAGTTGGTGACGCGTGAAATGTTCGAAGATGCTCTGAAAGAGTTACAGGATGATGGTATCGTGATCGTGACTGGCAAAAATACTATTCGTGTCTGTTAGAATTACCTGCGTTTTTCTGACTCTTGCGCGCGGAAGTTAGAATTTTAAACTCGTCTCGAAATTTATTGGCACTGGAATGTGCAACGATAAAGCAGTTTTAATACTCGACAATATCATGAAGAAATTTGATTTATCGATTGTAAATGTTATTTTTTTTATTTTCAAACTTGTTTCTAAAATGCAATTTTGCGTCCGGCAACACAACAACACGTGAAGTGCACTTGAAGCTCTATTGATACTCGCTTTTTTATACTCACACTAAATATTTTTAGCATATGACATTTGGATTATTATATAAAAAAAATATGGTTGGATATGAAAAAATCTATTCCAACTAACGCGAAATCTCTTGGCATCGCGAATGAGTATTAGATTGCCAGCAGGTAGAATTATCGAAAGAACATATTAATTTGTATTATTTTTTTCCTTAATAAATAATTCTATATGTTTTTATATTAAATTTCCGCTTCCAAATTTTTCTTTTGTTTCCTGTCACAATACATATCGCGTATTCTGTTTACTTCATTTTGTTTTCATAAGTTCCCTGTTTTCCCTTTAGTTCCTTGTTCTCTTAAGTACTTAATACGATGTTAAGTTATCAGATATTTCAAATATGTTCCACTTTCTATTTCTCATTGCACTTATTTTGCGTTTTACTGTTCTCACATAAAACGAAAAATCTCTGAGTGATTGTATGTACAGTTTCTATCACGATCCTTGGATTACTAGGTTCTGCGCTATTAATTGCATAAGATACAGCGCCTGCGATTATTATTGCGTAAACACGATGCTCTTTATTCGCATTCTCCGCCGTTTTTATCACCGAGAACCATTGTGTAATCATCGTTCTCGGGGAGAGCGAAAGAAAGAAAATTGGAATTTTGTGCTACCAGCGTGTCGTAAAAAGAAGGGAGTAGGAGAGCTGCGATTCTTCGTGTATACAGCGCGTTACACGAGCCGCGATACCGAAAAGAATTCAGCCGTTCCCCCTTTACTCCCCGCTTTTTTATCATCGCTGTGCTTTTCTCTGCATCGCCGATGGTATTAACGAGAAGAGACATAATGTAATACGAACGATACGCCCGTGAATATTCTCTCGTTGAAGCGCTCTTTTAATCGAGCGAAGCGGACACGATAATGAGAGTTTAGGCAATGAAAAACCGGGAATTGGATTATCGAGAGCCGATTGACGCGATCAGCCGCGCGAGGAGTAATTTCCTCGAGAAATGCACCTGGTTCTTGCTCGACGCAACGTAACGTTACGCGCGTCACCGCGTTTCGACATTTGCATGTATCTTTAATATCGCGCCCGGTGCATTACATCGGCTGCATCCATTATTCATCGGCGTATAAATTATTGTCGTTCGCAAACGATTCGCAAATGCCCGGCGGGTCTTTCTTCCTTCGCTAACGGCTGCATAAATCCCTACAATGTAAATTCCATAAATCCAATCCTTAGCCCTCCCGCATCCCTCGTCTGTCGTCGCGCTGTCCCATGACCGATGTAATCATTGCTCTCATCGATTTCCCAAGCTCGCGTTCGCGGCGAGGAGCACGATCTCTCCCCCCGTCTCTCCACCTCCCTCTCTGACCGCCGGTAATTTCACGGGGTTGCCGTATGCGATGATTAATCGCGTCGGCCCCGTCATCGTCGTCGGCGATTTGAAACGTCTTGTAGCCGGCCCGCACAGCTAGCGTCCCACGCCTACGCCTCGTGCGCGGGCGTCGCGACGGAGGCGTCGTACTACGTAGTTTCGCTCTTGCGATGACCTTGGAAACTCCCACGCTGCCGGAGCGCCGGGTTTCGGTGGTGGGGACATTCGTTCATCGACGTCCCACCAACCCACACCGGGGCGATCTTCACCCCTCCGAATCCCGATGGCCGGCTCGATGCTCATGTACGTGAGCGCACTGTGATACCAGGGGATGCCGGGTGGTATCCTCGAATTATCGTGCCCGGGGGTTACACGGCATACGATCCAATTTGCCGGCGGAGATCGCTCGCTCGCTCGCTCGCTTTCTACGGGCCTGTGGTAATTAATCCTTCGCTGAAGTTGAATCGTTGGCTTAAATTACGTTAATGCGGTTTTAATTTATACGACTCTCTCTCTCTCTCTCTTTCTCTCTCTCTCCCCCCCCTCTCCTCCCTCCCTCTCTGTATTTTCTCTCTCATCTGCTCTCTTTCTCCTTCGTCCTCTCGGAATCACGCGGATGGAAAAGTGGGCCGACGAGGGCCGATATCGGTCGCGGTTGTTCGCGCGTAACAACGTGAAAATAAAGTGCTCGTAAAATTCATCGGCCAATTAATTAGCAGCTAATTACACGTGCATGTTTCGGTGCATTTTCGAGCTCTCTCCGGTGCGACGATGCACGCGCGCGTTAAATACTTGACATTTAATGAGTATGTTTCGTTTTGTTGTTACATTACGCTACTCGTGTACGTTATCGCGATTCGGACTTTTGCCGATCTATCCACCACCCACACGCTACCTAAATCGCGTTGTTTTTGCGTCAGATAATAGACGGAGGAAGGGGGGAGAGAGAAATCTAATGAAAAAGAGATATGAAAGATCTCTCTCTCTCTCTCTCTCTCTCTCTCTCTCTCTCTCTCTCTCTCTCTCTCTCTCTCTCTCTCTCTCTCTCTCTCTCTCTCTCTCTCTCACCTTATATATACACCGAGGATAAACTTTATTTTACGATTCTTCCGTCAATTTGGAGTCGATGTCTCCTGGACAAGAATATCGAGGGAGATCGATAATCGTATCAAGTTACGAGCGATCGTGCGACGACGAGGAAGACGAGTTTTTCGGGAGTCAAAGATGGCTCATTTTCCGCGTTTAATTTCGCGTGTGGGCTTGAACGAGCGTGTACTTTCACACAATTTCAGCCAGATAATTATTGGAAATCGCGTTTGCCTCTCCGTCGGTCGATCTTTCATCTCTCCGAGCCGTTCTACGTTGCTGATAAATTCTGCTTGAGCCGGGCTCAGGTCAGATTAGCAGTCTGCTTAGCTTTCGTGACGGATGCTTCACGCTTTTCCCACATACATCCGACCCGGTTCCCCTGGTTTAGATTAATCCGTGGGCCAGGAGGAATCGCGCGAGTGGAATCCTTAATAAGTGGGCAACCTCCCTTCCTTTTTTTTCCTTTTTCAGCAGAGATGTATTAATACCCGTCAAATTAACTGTAATCTAGGATACGAAGACGAATTCCGGCGTGTTCGGGATGTCAACGATTTATCCGAGAACTTCTGTCCGCGCGCATTTCGCCGCTGAGAGATCGGGGAGTGATTCAGCAATTTTTCCCGGATATCGCGATGTCCCAGCGTCGTGCATC